AGGGGGAGCTCCGCTGGCTGCGCCCGCGGCGTGACCGGTCACCGGCGCTGCGGGCCGGGCGCTGCCGCCGCCGGGGTGTGCCCGGGCTGATGCCTCCGTTCCGGATGTTCGCCCGTGTTGCTCCCCGGCAAAAGTGCTTAGGCTGACACACGAGGGGTTCACGTACCTACAGGCACAGGAGAGTTTCTGGCTTTGCTTTGGAGCCAACTGTAACTTGGGAAGTTTTTCCCCTTTTAGCTGTTCGATGCACTTAGGTTTGTTTCTCGTTACAGATGATTGAAACGCTCGTAACTACGGAAGCTCAGGAACTGCTGTACCAGCTTACAGCCCTGTTGGAACAGGAGTTAAGATGTCAGCCAAAGGCCTCTGGCCTGAGACTAATTGAATCTGCTCATGATAATGGCCTCCGAATGACTGCAAGGCTGCGAGACTTTGAAGTGAAAGATCTCCTCAGCTTAACTCAGTTCTTTGGCTTCCATACAGAGACGTTTTCACTAGCTGTGAATTTCTTGGATAGATTCTTGTCAAAAATGAAGGTAAGGCTTTTTAAAGTGTAAGCTCTCAGTCATTAGCTTCTGCTCATTGCAGCCTTGTTCCTATGATAAGTTAGAATATCTTGGGTTTAGATGGCTAAAGATTAAGCTCCTTTCAGAGATTCTCATTGTGTAAGAGCTAAAAAATGGCTTTCCCTGTTCAGGTTTTAGTATTGCTAAGAGAGCTGTTTCCTCTGGCAAAGAGAAGAAAGAGGGCATCAGTTTCAACTTGAGGGTGCTCATAGGCTTGGAAATGCAGGCCGTATTGATGGGTTAGACCAAGACAGATTGTCTTGCCTGTCGAATCTGTACACAAACACCTTAAATTACTTCTTATTTTACTGCGGTTTCAACCAGCCCATAGGACTTGTGTATATCAAGAGGCTTGATGCTGTTCAGCACTTGGAAATGGTAAAACATTTAGTTAGCACTCCATTCTACTGTGCATATGTGGCATGCTGACCTGGGTTCTTTTTAATTGTCTAACGAGACAGGATTGGATTACCACTGTGCTATTTGGTCAAGAACAAAAGCTTGTTTTCCTAGTGTGTTAAAACAAAAATGAGAAAGCTAGAGTGAGTGGATAGGAAAATTATGATTTGAAAGACTTCTGAATCCAAAATAAGCAGTAAAAATGGGGCCTGTAATGCCTATGGAATAAAATAAGTCAATTTATATATGTATGTGTACATAGATATGTGTGTGCGTGTCTATAGAAAAGAGTAAAAAAAAAACCACCCCTTTTTTTTCTTCTTGCTTAAGCCAATATGTACAACGCTTTAAGTCCTAAAAGCTTCTGATTAGACTATTATAGAACTTCATTAAGAAACCCCTTCTGCCTCAATCAAAATATACTGTTCTGCAGTCTTGCTTTTTAGATGAATGAGGCAGAACTTGTAGTGTAATGATCTTCTCATTTAGTTAATAAAGAATGTAAGTAGTTAAAACACTTATTCCTCAGTCTTCGAAAAAAACCCAGAATAACCTCCTCCACTTCCCCCCCAAATTTTTTTCCTAAAATACATTAGTGCCTACATAGTTGGTACTTACCTGTTGAAATGGCTGATCAAAAGTCTTCCTCTTTGAAAGTAACAACAATTTACTTTTCTTTAGGTACAGCCTAAACACTTGGGCTGTGTTGGACTCAGCTGCTTCTACTTGGCTGTGAAGGCATCGGAAGAAGAAAGAAATGTTCCCTTAGCCACTGACTTAATTCGAATAAGCCAGTATAGGTTCACTGTTTCTGATATGATGAGAATGGAGAAAATCGTATTGGAGAAGCTATGCTGGAAAGTCAAAGCTACAACAGCCTTTCAATTTCTACAACTATATCATTCACTCATTCATGAGAATTTAAGTTCTGAAAGGTAAAATATCTTAATACTTACGTTGCTATGACTGTTTGTGATCAGGAAGCCTGTGTAGAAAAGCAAGCAGGGAAATTACTCGAGTAATTGGGCTTTCTATACCTAAAAAAACAAGAGACTTTCCCCCTTATTGGTAATTATCTATCAATGTGAGTAGCTGTGGTTTAATATTATTTTAACTTTAAATGTCGTTTGCATAAATTGATCTAAAGAGTGTTGCTCTCTGAGCCAAAAAACAAACTTGCTCAATAATGATGGTATAATAAATCTCTGCTTATTCTGCACTAAGTATTGCCTCATTGCAAAGATTTCAAAATCTGGCTTAGAAAGACATTCCTTTTGCTAGTGAGCACTAAAATTCCTTCTTGGTAAGCCTATTTTGACAATGCAACTCTCCCCAGTGTAACACGAGATTTATTTTTGGCATGAGGACTGCCAAAACTGAACACCTGTTTGACTGTAACCCTAGAACTTCTGGGACAAATGAGGTCTTTGTTTAGATAATGAACATTCTTGCTGCTTTTCGGAGTTCTCAGGGTGGTGCTGCCTTGATCACGCTTGCGTTGTACGTTCACTCATCTGTTTTTTATTACAGGAGAAAATACCTTAATTTTGAGAGACTTGAGACGCAGCTTAAGGCATGTCACTGCAGAATCATGTTTTCTAAAGCCAAGGTAAACGTCCCGAAAGCTCAAAGACAATGAGACTCCTGAAACTTAACAAAGCCGTGTTTAAAATGTTTTCTCTCTCTCCAGCCTTCTGTCTTGGCACTGTCTATTATGGCACTAGAGATAGAGGAACAAAAACTGCCGGAGTTGTCAGAGGCATTGGAATTTCTGCAGCTGCATTCCAAGGTATGTATAGATAAAGTTTCAGGGGAGGAAGGAATTAAAATGCATGCAAGGGCTTACACAGTGGGGACTGGGGAGGTCCATTGGCATACTGGTTTCTTTTCTGGCTTTGTTGTTTTGGTTGGGTTTTTTTCCCATTTGGCTTGGGATCTTTGGCTTCCTGTCTTAAGTGAAGAAGCTGAAAGTACATGTATGAAATAAGGATTTAATGAGTTATTAACAGATGAGATTCTGTCTTGCTATTTAGATAAGCAACAGAGATTTGACCTTCTGGAAGGAACTGGTGTTAAAGTGCCTTACCGAATATTCCTCGAGCAAGTGCTCCAAACCAAATGTCCAGAAACTAAAATGGATTGTGTCTGGACGTACAGCAAGGCAGCTGAAACATAGCTATTACAGAATAACACACCTTCCTACAATTCCAGAGACCAGCTCGTAATAGGTAACTCCTTGTAAAATCAACTTCTGGTAATGTAGAAGTAATGAGCTGTTAACTGCCTCAAAGTTTCTTGTCCTGTGTAGGTAACCTCCTGAAGACACGTAATGTAAACGTAGTAGGCCTGTCATAGAGGCTGGTCCATTCTCACGTTCATGTGTGAGCCAGTGCTGCACCTAAAGTGGCAACCTAACATATGAATGTTGGAGAAAGAACCGATCCTCTGGTGTGCTGTGGGGGTGGAAATGTGTTCTACAGACACTGGGATATCATTCAAACTAAAATTGGAGTAAAACTGGTGAAAAGGCAGAGAAAAAACTCAGCTTGCTCCTGTCCTAAAAAGCATCAGCTAAGAGGAAACAGTTGCCTATTAGAATGAGTTCATTGTAATTGTTCATTTAAACCACTTAAAAGGAAGACAGTTTTATACAGTTTTACTTGTATAACTGTCTAATAAGGTCTAAAAACTGTAATTCAGTTATTCATATTACTGGGTTTTTTACTCTGTAGAAAATGTGAACTACTTCCTCATCTAGACTTTTAATTCCAAAGGCTACATATTTTCTGTAACAGCTGTCTTGCTCTTTTCTTGCTATATTGAAGTCTGATGCTTTGTTTGAGTCTTGCAGAAAGCCCTTGAGTTGACTGTTTTTTTGTTGTTTGTTTTTTGCAGGAGTACAATAAAATGAGGAGACCTGTGACCCTGTCAACAGACACATGAATATTTGAGAAACAAAGTCTGAAACACGATCTTAATAATGAAGAACTCAACTTATGGAAAGAATACGTAACATTTCAGACTAAAGATCTTCCAGCAAATACATTCTTTTCATGATGATTACAATAATATCAAATAATGTCAGTTTTCAGTCTTGTTTGTTAGACTGTTCAGTGAAATACCACAATACTGATACAAGGAATTTTAACACTTATAGTTTGTAGAGCAGCTTGTGTAGTCTAACCTCAGTTTACTGTAACTGCAGGTGTTGAATTATATATTTAACTTTAAAAATCTGGTTCATTTTCCAAAGATTATGGGACACTAGGAAAACATCATGTGCAGTAGCACAGCGCTGCAGTGTCTCAATCAAACTAAAGTCTAATCCCATTTAATATTGATGACAACAGCAAATGCCTGTCAGTTCACCTGAGTTGCTGTTTAGGCAGTGCCCCTGCTGGGCAGGGCACTGGCCTTCTACCATACACATTAAAAACTAGGCTATGTGATACCCACTGAACGTGTCGAGTAGCTAGAGCAGGAGAAAAGAGAATCTTTATTTCATTGCCTTATAAAAGGTAGTCACTAACACAGCATCAGTAACTTCAGTATTTTGTAAGAGGTGTAGTTTCCCGAGATTACGAATTATTGCATAGGGTGTAAAAACTTCATACCTAAATGAAGGCTGAGGGGATGTACTGGGTCACCTGCCCTAAATCTGACATCAGTTTTCCAAAGTGTCACTGTACAAGAGCTTAACACTGACGCTGAACAGGGGTATTTTTACAGGTGCAGTAGGAGCAGGGCTAATGCCCCATCCTGGCCTGTCTGTAGGAGCAATCTAGTTGAGAAACACCGAAGGCTGCTTGAACTTTGATCTCCAATGGTAAGCTTCGTGAAGTACAGCTGTTTCTTCTGAAGACCAGATGAGTACTTGACGCATGCCGTGCTTCTGGTGCTGACAAGGACGTGAATAACAAGAATGTATTCTTGTCTGTAAGATGAATAGAGGTGTTGGGGAACGTTGCTAATGACCTTGTATTCTGTGTCACTGTGGAGCAGAGGCTGTTAGCGATAGGCTGTCAATAACTGATTGCCCTGTGAAGGGACTTCGTGGAGGAGGGATCAGTGTTCTGAATATCATGTGGGCTTAGATGTTAGCCAGCCAACCCTTTCCCCTCTATGGTAATAGCTGCGGGGGAAACCATTCTTTGCATATCTCAGACTAGGTAAACCTTTCACAGAAGACTTCATACCAAAGCTCTGTACTGGACAAATCAAGCCTTCTCATGAACTCATGGAGTGGTTGCACCACAGAACATGTAACAGTGCTATCTGTGCAGCGTGCTGGCCTGCGAAAAGCATACAAGGGATTTGGAGAAAGGTGGGGTCAGCCTGCTGGGGGAGATGGAGGAGATGCAATGTGCAATTTAGTTGTCATGTCTCAATATTAAGATATATACCTTTCAATTAAACACTGAAATGTGATTAACTGAGTAACTTTTTTCCTGTTTGTTATAAAACATCTTAGTAGGAAGCCTATAAAATGACTTGTATCTGAACAGTACCCTGAAAACTTCCAGGCAGGAGGTAAGAGATGATGGAGATTTTTTCAATTTTTTTTTTTTTTAAGAGGTTGAGACCACATGGGAGACCCAACAGGAAAAACTCAAGGTGGTTGATTAAAATGATTTTAACTTGGCCCTTGATTACTCTAAATCCTCTGGGATGCGAAAGTGTCAAGATGCAAAGACTGACTTAGTAGCTTAGACTGTTCAAATTTGACTTCAACCCACTTCCATTATTTATGTGATAGTACATACCACCTGTTTCTATGCACTGCAGTACATACACGGATGGTGCTTGCTTAAGCAAATTTGGCACTCAGACTTCTGATCCCAAGATTTGAGGTTTTGCACTGATCTGAGCATCCCACGTGGACTAGGCATAAGTTTAGCTATACATTTCTGTGCCTAACTGACTCGGAACAGCTATGGTCCTTTTGATAAAGAGCTGATCTTGAACCAGATTCATGAAAAAAATGCCCTGTGCCTGTCCTCCACTCATTTACATAGCAGAGTAGCACTCTGAATGAGTACACAGGATTATTTCCTATAGAGTGGGTTGCTCTGGATACTATCACATACCCAAATTTATGCATCTGTCAAATCCCTGTTACTGTTTGTCTAAGCAGCAAGGGATTGAATGCCAGTTGTTGTGAGATGGAACAAAACCCACCATTTGTTAAAGTATAGACTGAGAACTGAGTAGATACTAATTAAGGAAAGTCACAGCATCAATATATTTTTATTCTAGATTCTTCAAAAATTAGAGGTCTGTAACTTAGAGTAGACGACAGAAGTAGCCAACCAGGTAGTTCAAACCTTCCCTCAAAACAATTGAGCCTTGATGCCTGAATACATACTACACCGTTGTCCTCTTTCCTTGACATCAGCCTTGGACTTAGCTGTAGGATGATACTTGTGCTACTTGATAAAGCAGAAAATATAGGAATAAAGTTGGGTTTTGAAAGTGCACACAGTAAATGTAAGTTCATGCACTGCTGTCTCGGATGCCATTCTACACTTCTGCTAAAACTGTCCTGTGCAAACCAACGGCTGTAACAAAAAATACTATTTCAAGGGACAGCACTTCAGCATTTTGCTGCTAACTTTTCTATCGTCCCTTTGTCTTCAGTTACTTTTGCAGCAGTCTCGTTTAACTATTCCATCCACCTTCTATACTAGGAGCACAAAACTTCATAGCCATAAACCAGCACTTGATACCACACTACTTTCCTTTGTACAGTAAGCCAAGTTCTCTAAAACCCAAACACAGCGTATGGACTTACTTTACATTCTGTAAAGATGACACGGGTAGAAGGAGTTCACTTGACTTCCAGGAGCATTAATGCTTGCTTGCTTGTACAAGAAGCAAGCAGTGGATGCAATTACAGTGAAAGCGTTCTTCCTCGACTATTGCTTTATGCCAACTGAAATAACGATACAACTTTAGAAATAAGGCTCAGTACTACAATGGACAGCTGCTGGCAGTTTATCTCCAGTGGGACTTCTGCCTAGGACTTAAGTACAGGCAGCAGTTTCAGTGTTCAGCATACAATAGGATTTGGCAATCCTCTGTGAGTCGGTTTGACACAGCCTTCATCCTAGATAATGCTGTGGCTGGAGTGCTTCTCTGCTGCATCCTTAACAAACAGTAAGTAGAAAATTCCCCGATACTTAATTGGCACGTGCAAAACACTGTATCATGCCATAGCTAAGTTAAAGATCTGGCTATTAAATTAAAAACTGTTATCTATAAAAATCTACAGCTTCTTAGATACAGTATCAACAACTTGTGCTATATGTTGGTAATGAATAGATGTGAGATACCATTTCCTACTTGGGAACTTCCTTTCAAAAGTCATTATATTCTCTTAATTTCAAAATCTTAAATATTTATACTGAAAGGCTATATTACTTCAACATATAAAGGTATTTATATCCAGACTTTCACCTGACCTTTCAGTTTTCTAGTATCCCTTACCTGATAGCAAGTATTAATCATTAGTGCTATATTTGACAGCACAGTGGATTGCAAAACCTTATCTGAGGCAAGATGCAGTAGTTTATTGAAATCACTTTTTTAGAACGACATTAGAAATTCTCAGAGGACTGTTACAGAGGGAAGGGGTAACTGGCCATCCTAATATCCTTCCTGTTGCAAGTTAAGAGAAAATACTAAATGTCTCGATGTGTAACATCTGTTCTTCAACAGTGAGTAAGGTTTTCTTGCATAAAGACAAGTGGTAGATTTATAACTAACTAGTTTAATGTTTCTAAAAAAAACAAAACAATAACCCAAAACCAACATTCTACTTAAAGATGTCACTTTTTTTGTGTACACCTTTCTCTATAGTTTGTCCCTTAGTATTAGAAAGTTATTGCAGCTTATAAATCAGCTGGTAACGCTTTGTCTTCATTCTACTGGAAGAGATCTTCTTTCTCTTCACTGAAGTTATTACTTGATGCCAATCCATTGAAGAGATCACCAGTTACATGGTTCTAGTCCTTAAGTGTAATGTGTTATTCCTCTCAAGGAACAAAGATAAAACCAGTTACTTTTCAAGACTAGAAAAGTCTGGTCCTCCTTTGCTGTAATTTCCAGAAATTTCTGCCCCACTGAAGTCAAATCCAGGGTTCTGATGGAGGCAAGAGAAAAGTTAAATAGATAGATTATTCACAATAAAAATGTTTAAAAAAACCCCCAACCAACCAACAAAAAGCCCCAAATTGTTTCTGTTAATATTCTGCTACTGTAACAAGGACATACAACGATCAGCTTGTCATCCATTTGTCATGGCACTGAATTTCTTGGAAAATGCATCAACAGATAAACCTTCAATTGTCATAGTTTGGTGGCCTACTGCTGAAGTGACTTTGTAATACTGTTCTCAGGCAAACGGTTGTATCTCCCAGTAAAGAAACAGTAAGGGAAGTTTAAGAAAAATTTCTGGCTTCTGGTGTCCCTTGTACCTTGTCCCTTGAAATTAGTATTTGAAAATACAACTACCTGCCACGCTGGATAACAAGTTTCATAAAAATTATGTTCTTTGTTGCAGTATGTAGTGTGCTGATACAGCTGTTAAGTAATAAGTTGTCTCTGCAGACACATAGGAATAGTTGTGTGCTAAAGGTGTACCAAAACAATTTAAGCAATTTTAGTAAAAGGGCAAGGAAAATATTTTCCAGCTAAATTTTTCTACATCATCTGATGTTATAAACCAACACATTCAACAGAGCTTAATGTTAGAAGTTTGTTGTAAATATGGCTATGTCATAATTCTAGGTAATAATAGAAACCGTGTGTAGCCTAACTGAAGTGAAAAGTTGTTAGTATTATGCAACAAGCCCTAAAACAGCAATACTCCCCAAACTCATCTTAACTTTTCACAGAACCTTCAGACAGATTACAGACAGCATAACCTCTTGAGAGTACACTGATAAAGCCTCGTGAGCCTATACATATTGAACTATAGTATATGTTTCCATGGCACCGGATAGCAGAACCATTTTGCTCAGCTTTCATGGCCACAACCTCTGTGTGCAAACACCAAACATAAGGAGTAATTACAGTTCTTTAACTTGCCTCCCTTTGGAATCGCTCCAGTGTAAGTTTCCTTTGCATCTGGTCCTGCACCCAAGGATCAGCAGCATATTCATTTTCTAACAGAGACGTCCAACAATTCCCAGCATCTCGATTTGTCTTCATCAGAACAATTCGTATCAGCTTCCTGTCTTCTGTTGAGTGAAAACAGACACATACAGCAACCATTAAACTCAGCCCTACGGGCCAGTCGTCTTTGTTGTTTCGGTGAATTCACCATTAACAAGCAGAGAATTTTTTGGTGAAGTAACTTAAATTCTTCATGCCAATGACAACAGGATTATTGATAAATAGATAAACATTAACAAGAAACAAAGGCTGAAGCAAAGATAGCCTGTCCAGCCATCTCTCCCCTTTCTGGCCTGTAAAATGCTGAGGCTGTTTTAAGGGATTAAAACACAGTTCATAGTAAGTACTTCTATTGCAAACATGAACGAACCTTTTAAAGAGGTTCACGGCAGAGAAGAGATTTCATCTATTAATACATACAGCTCAGCTAGGGCAAAAATGAAGGATTTGAGGTCAAGCTTTACAAAGAGTTGTTACAAATAAAAGCCAGAACTAAGTTTTAGCGACATATGGAGATATAATCAATTTCTTTACACAGAGTCAGTATGCCTATAGACAACACACTGGATGTACATTTCAAAGTTAACACGTAGGATGTTTAGTTCTACTTAACTGAATAAATACAGCATTATAAAGTGTGTTTTGAAGATTATTCACATACTGGAAAAGAGAAGGCTTCACTTCAAAGTGTTTGTTTATACTTCTAGTTTTCATGTTTAAGTTTCTAAACCATTAATCAATATTTAGAATAAATACTGAATGCAAAACAAAATCTATCATAGGAAAACATTAAGCAAGAGGCAGTCCACAAATAGGATTGCCAACCCCCCAAATATTCTGAACACTTTACAATATTTATGATGTAATGATCAGAGAAGCTTTTTCTGCTCATTATCTGTAGGTACCTTAGTGTGACTTTTAGATTGCTTTTTGATTCTCTTGCATTGCAGATTTTGTCACCCACCCCAAAAAACATAATGCATAAGAGAACGAGAAAAGACAAGAAAAGTCACAATTATGGAGAGGCCCAGACCACACAACTGTACCCTAATTGTCTGGCCATAACGAGGGTTTGCGAAAAACTCACTATACGGAAGCTGTCTGGCCATAACGAGGGTTTGCGAAAAACTTCTCACTATACGGAAGTGTTTGTAAGCTACTGACTACTGCCTTCCTCGACACGGTGTTGTTCCATTAACCTTCATCTCTGGGGCTTTTGTACTACCTCAGTTCCCTATGGCAATAACCATTGTCTTTTTTACAAAGCTCCGTACAGGGAGAAAGTCAGCTTTCCCATTAAAAAAAGGGGGTAGACTCTTCTGCAGCATATTTTGAGAAGTTCTACGGCCCTTATAATGTCATTTCAGATGTAGGGTATTACCTAACGTCCACGTTCCTTCATCAGTTATCGTAGCGTCAAAGAGTTTACCCTGTAAGAGACATGTACAACATTACAAAACAGGAAAACCTGTTCAGTATCCAGTTCGTACTGAATTGTGAAGAACTAAAAACCAAGAACTTACATTCTTGTTTTCTGCTGAAAATGAATAGGGTGATCTGGCCCTGCAAGTATGGACTTGCGCATGGACTAGCAAAGAATTATTTTTTGTTACCCAACCGTTTTTTTTTTTTTAAATGAACTAAAAATACCTGCCGCTGTTTCAGTATCTCAATTCATTGAAAGGGCTTGTGTTTCTCAGAGGGCAAAGCCATTTTTAACAGACTTGCCATGAAGATGAGTGTTTCTGCCAACAGCCACGTACAGCTATGGTGCAGCGTGTATACGTTATGCTACGAAGCAATCTTCATTGTCAACATGAAAGTAAATCTGCTTTTGGTCCGGTGGGTTCGGCTTTTAGCAGCGAGCGAAGCTGTGCTAAGTTTGTCTCTTTATTTCTCCTATCGTCCTTAAAAGACCCTGCAGTTCGATAGAACTGTTTCTAATAAGTTTCGTTTCCAATTTATCAAAGTCTAGACGCTTACAGAAGAAAATACGAAGCAATCTTCATTGTCAACATGAAAGTAAATCTGCTTTTGGTCCGGTGGGTTCGGCTTTTAGCAGCGAGCGAAGCTGTGCTAAGTTTGTCTCTTTATTTCTCCTATCGTCCTTAAAAGACCCTGCAGTTCGATAGAACTGTTTCTAATAAGTTTCGTTTCCAATTTATCAAAGTCTAGACGCTTACAGAAGAAAAAGAAAAG